CAAAGATAAGGTGACCATATGTGCGTGGGTTTATCCCTGGGCTTTCTATCTTGTTCCATTGATCTATATTTCTGTTTTTGTGCCAGTACCATACTGTCTTGATTACTGTAGCTTGGTAGTATAGTCTGAAGTCTTGGAGCCTGATTCCTCCAGCTCCATTTTTCTTTCTCAAGATTCCTTTGGCTATTTGGGGTCTTTCGTGTTTCCAAACAAATTGTGAATTTTTTGTTCTAATTCTGTGAAAAATGCCATTGGTAGTTTGATAAGGATTGCAATGAATCTGTAGATTGATTTGGGTAGTAGAGTCATTTTCACAATGTTGATTCTTCCAATCCAAGAACATGGTATATCTCTCCATCTGTTTGTATCATCTTTAATTTCTTTCATCAATGTCTTATAGTTTTCTGCATACAGGTCTTTTGTCTCCTTAGGTAGGTTTATTCTTAGGTATTTTATTTCTTTTGTTGAAATGGTAAATGGGAGTGTTTCCTTAATTTCTTTTTCAGATTTTTCATCATTAGTGTATAGGAATGCAAGAGATTTCTGTGCATTAATTTTGTATCCTGCTACTTTACCAAATTCATTGATTAGCTCTAGTAGTTTTCTGGTGGCATCTTTAGGATTCTATATGTATAGTATCATGTCATCTGCAAACGATGACAGTTTTACTTCTTCTTTTCTGATTTGGATTCCTTTTATTTATTTTTCTTCTCTGATTGCTGTGGCTAAAACTTCCAAAACTATGTTGAATCATAGCGGTGAGAGTGGGCAACCTTGTCTTGTTCCTGATCTTAGTGGAAATGGTTTCAGTTTTTCACCATTGACAATGATGTTGCTGTGGGTTTGTCATATATGGCCTTTATTATGTTGAGGAAAGTTCCCTCTATGCCTACTTTCTGGAGAGTTTTTTCAAAAATGGGTGTTGAATTTTGTCAAAAGCTTTTTCTGCATCTATTGAGATTATCATATGGTTTTTATCCTTCAATTTGTTAATATGGTGTATCACATTGATTGATTTGCATATATTGAAGAATCCTTCCATTCCTGGGATAAACCCCACTTGATCATGGTGTATGATGAAGGATGGTTCTTTGCAAGCAAATCATTTCTCAGATACAAAGGATGGGGGGATTTCTTAGACTTTACTGTTTTACAGGCTCTCAAGCATCAGGTAAAGTTCAGAACTGTCAGAGCATGGCAACAAAGTAGACAAAGTGGGTCCTCCCAGTCAAGGACCTGAGATTCCATGGGATGAAATGAACAGGGACCTCTAGGCCTGTCCATTAATATGGTCGTTTCAGATCCTGCTAAGCCTATGAAGAAAAGAGGATATGACGATGGTGGGCAGTGACTGGTAGAGGAGGCCTCTGATGGTGGAGACAAGAGAAGGTCTCCTAGAAGACATGCCATTTGAGCTGAGAATTAAGTGATGCAAATGAGCCATCATGGCAGCTAGACCATCCTGAATGAGGTAGGGAACAGGAATGAGATTGGAAAGGAAAGCAAGACTAGAACAGGTGGGACTTGCAGGTAAGGAGCCTAGACTCTGGTTGCTCTGCCGAGGATGGACAGAGCAGAGGGAGAGCAAAGACAGGGAGGCGAGTAGGAAGGGCCCGGGAATTCTGCAGAGCTGGAATGATGGTCTGGACCGGGGTTGTGGTATTGGGATAGTGAAAAGTCATCCAGTTCAAGGTATGCTTTGGAAGTAGAGCTAATGAAATTTAGATAAGGCATGAGGAAATGATAACAACAGCAAACCCTTCCATAGAACCTACAACGCTCTAGGCACCGTTGTGAGTGCTTGATGTGTACTAACACATATTTTACCTTCACCAAAAAAATATGAAAAGATAGGTACTGTATGGTTCCCATTTTCAGATAAGGAAACTGAGGCACAGAACGATTAAGTAATTTATCCAAAGTCACAGAGCTAATAAGCGGCAGAGCTTTGAACCCTGGTAGGCTCCAGGGCAGAGTCTAGCATGCATGATTCCTGTAATTTTGATCTGAGCTATATTGGTCCTACCATTTGGTTGAAATATTTAAGGCTCGGTGGGAAGTGGACTTGAAGAGGAGATCAATGGCTCAGTATAGGCCATGTTAATTTTCTAGTACCTGTTAGATAACCAAGTGACAGTACTGAAAATGTAACTGGGTATATGTTTGGAGCTCGGGGAAAGTTTCAATTTGGAGCTGTAACTTCCAGCATCTTCACCATATAGATGGAATTCAACACCACAGGGTTAAATGAGATCACCTCAGGGTCTGGGGGTGGGAGAGGAGAAAAAGACAAGATCTGCACCCTGGGCAGGTCAGAGGTGTAGAAGCTACACCACTGTCTTTGAGCCTCTATTCGAGTTTTCCTGATTTCGGCATGAGGATATCTGTTCTGATGCCTCCTTCTCATACTCTTGCAGCTTGAAAAGAAACTTTGAAGTAAGCTGAAAGTTAATTTGCAATTTATTTGGGGCGGACTATCTCTCTGTGTATAGAAAATCTCATTCTTGATCACTATGAGAATGACCGCTTGCTCAAGCCAAGATACCGCTTTGTTAACGTGTAGGAGACCTACTAGCACTGGAGCCCTAGACTATTTGAAATATAAAAGACCGAGCTGCAGTTTACTAAGTGGTTTCATATCTCCCATCCTCTTTGACCTTCACACACACCCCAGGAGGTAAGCAGGCCACTGAGGATGCTGACCCTTAGCTGGTGAGAGTCCGATGTTTGAGAGACAAAATTACTTGCTCAGGGCTATACTGTTGAGCAGCAGAACTGGGATTCAGACCCACATCATGTGCTACCAAATCCTTTGCCCCCTTCAGCACCACCAAGCCTGCTCAGCACAGCCAGCGTGCTTCACGTTTGCAACCCCCATTCATTCTGTCAAGAGACAAAGGTAGAAATGCAAACATTTAACTTTATCTCTCCTACTAGCCGAAATGTCTAAGGGTTGCTAATATTGAATCCCAGGACATCATGGGTTATAGATAAGAGCCCATAAAAGGAGTCAGACAGGAACTGGGCAGACTGCCAACATTTGCAGAGGGAGATGGGCTTCATTACTTTGTTAAACATGAATTCTCCAAGCATGAAGCACACCCATTTTCATATGTAAATATAAAACTACGTGTAAAAGTCAACTCAAAATAATCTGTGGATTTTTTTAAACCATAATTGTGTATTTGCGATATTACAAATAATTGAGAGTTGATATTCAAAAGAAAAGCATGTAGGTAGAAAACAACAATATGTAAAACCCATCCCCTGTCCTCTGTGTGCTGGTGAAATGGGCAGGGACTTTTAGCAGAAATCTTAAGCAAATTATAGCAAATATGAGTTGGTTTTTAGTACCTGTGCCAGCCAAGCTGACTCTTTAACAAAGGATTCTTCTGGGTCATTTTTCACCTGTCAAGATTCCCAGGGAGGTGTCTCTCTCTTGCTCCCCCCCTTTCAAATGCCAGCTGATTCAGTCACTAGAACGTTCATTTACCTTCCTGCTTTGAGACAGTACAGCACAGCAGGTTTAACTAAATTGCCAATAAGACCATCTTAAATTACTGGCACCTCCACCTCCACCCCTTGCAGCACCTCCAGCGGGAGCAGGTGTGACAGGCTTTCAGAGCAACAAGTGCTCTTTGCTACGGTTGCTCTGAACCCTCTAGCAGACACCAGTCAGGAAAGGACAAGTCAAGCACAAGGAACCGGAGGGTGAGAGCACCCGGAACACTGGCCACCCTGTCACCCGACTCTGCCTGCAGCCTGGGAGGCCGAAAATCATATACGAGGAGGAACTTGTCTGAACGCGGCATGGGCTCTGGTTGGCAGAGGAAGGCCACCTGATCTCTATCTTTCCAGATGCTGATGTCAAAGACAAGTTCAGCAGATGTGCTGTCACTGACATGATGCCATTCCCTGATCTCAAAACAAGGAACAAAATCCCTCTGAATTCTCACCAGATGTGCCTGTGAACCTGTACAGCTGATGGGTGAGTACTATCTTCCTGGACAGTCAAGCAGCATCCTACGACATGCTTTAAAAACACAAGGCAGTGAGAACCGCTGTCAAAAGGTGAAAGAAAGAGAAGCAGCAGTGATTTGACACAACAAGAGAGCATCCCTTGTCTGAAAAATGTGAACTGTGGCATCCTCCCTTTCGCCAGGGCTTTCTGTCTCTCTGGATTGGTGCAGTGGACCTCTCCTGAACCCCAACCTGGCCCCAAACTATATCCTTTCTACTCTCCTCTTTTAGTTTATTTATAATTCCTCTGAAATTAACTTTATTATTCAAGGGATAGTTAGCCTGTATGGGATTCTAAAACAGTACGGCTTAGCCAGTGCCTCACAACCTCTTTCACATCAGCACACTCAGAACAGTGACAGTATTTGGAAAACACAGCAAGGGAAATGGATGAGGCTGGTCAAGGGTCCCTGGGCCACCCCCTGGGAAGCAGTATCTGAGCACACATCACTCGGAAGCACTGACTTAGATCAGGGAGCTCAAGCCACAGGTACTTGATTCTTGTAGGACAGGAAAACATGCAAGACTCACTTTTATGATATTATCAGGGCGCCAGAATGTAGATTCTGGGGTCCAATACTTCCATCCTAGAGCTACTGAATCCAAATTCAAGTAGTCGGGGAGATCTGGGGATCTGAATTTATGCAAGCTCCTCGTATCGTCTTCATGCGGGTTAAGCCTGCAAACCTCTGTGTTTGGCGTCTCCATTCTCATCACCCTTACTTCCTCCCCAGCATCCCTTAATTCTCTCCTGTATCCACTTCCTGGCCGTTTCCTCTGGGGAGCTGGCACTTCCACATTAAGATAGTAGAAGACAGAAGAAAGAAAAAAGACTCAGCAGAATTAAATGCAGAACTTGGGTGCTCAGAGGCTGTCGGTACGTTTGAGCTGGACCAGGAAGGACCCCTCACTTTATACACAAGACCCGAGGGCCCTGAAGATCAGAACTCCCACCCCTCCCCCAGCTCTTATTAACCAACAGCTTCACCAGAGGGGTAAAGAAAGAAATGACGCATCCCTGGCATGGCGAAGTGGGAAGGAGAGAGAGGGGTAAAAATACTTCTTCCCACTCAGCTGGTGTATGGGAAGAAGAGGACCGGAGAACAGCTGCTTGCTGGCAAGCTAAAGAAAAAGGCAGAACGCGGTTTGGTTCCTTCCTTTGGACTGTGCGTTGGCTTTATCACCTAATAGTCAGATTTGTTTGTTTACAGGCAAATGGGCTCTCAGATGTCCCTGACCTTTCAGATGTTACAGACACAGCCAAGGGCGCCACAGTTAATCTAAGGAAGCAATTCTAAGCACTTGCCTAACTCTCTGGCTATTCATATCCTTTATAAAAGGCAGGGGTTGGACACCCTAATAAGTAAGATCTAGCACATAAGCGCACAGATAATGATTAAAAACAGGGATCTGCCGCCCCAGTTTAGCTGGGCGAGGGGGCAGGGGAGAGGTGCCATTCACACTGACAGCAAAAGGAGGAGGAGAAAGCAGAAAAGGGGGCTTAATCGTGTGCTCTGGGCAGAGACCACATTCGTGTGAAGGGAGGGATCAGGTGGGCGTAGTTACTGCAGAGCTGCACCTCGGCCACCCCGCAAAGGCGAAAATACAGAAGCCCCTCCTGCAAGCTTGGTGCTGCAGCTGGGGAGCTGGGGCCAGCGCACCCCTGCATGCAGCCAGCGATGCAGCGCTATGCCGACAGCTGCAGCCCGGGCTGCCTGCGGCACCGGCACCGGCCTGCTCACATCTGCTGTTCACCATCAACACCCGTGCAGCTGCGCACGGTGCGGAGTGCTCTCCGGAGCCCCGTGAGTGTGTGTTCCCAAAGGCTAAGCTAGAAGATGAGGCAGGCTATTGAAATCTCTCTCCTCGGGATGGATATGACCACATGCTGCCTGCATTGTCTCACTCTTCTGTTACCACATCTCTGGTTTTGCCCTCAGCACCTTGGCTGCCGTTTCTGTCAGGTTTAACCCAACCCCACCCAGGACTGCACATGATAACTGCCTTCCACCCATGTTCCCATCAAGGAAGAGACCACGATAGCGATTCCTTCCTATAGAGAATTATCTTTGCACTTAAGGGTTACCCGATCTGCTGTGTTTTGGGGACTTCCAATATGCCAAGGTCAGGAACCCCTCTGATGTTGTGATTTATACAGTATATACTAGCCAATGTGCTTTAGTGCTATGATTGCCATAAAATAGTCCCTCTGTGGGTGATGCTACCTCTCATGTGAGCGGTTTCGCCCAAATGGAAAACTTACCTAGGAAAGACAGTTTGACTTTCCAGGTATTTAAGCAATAGTTAAATTGGTATTGTATTTCATTCTTAAAATTGAAAATGAAGTGTCCATTTTCAGTGCACTCTGAAGTTATTCACTAATGACATGCTGCAGTTTTTAAGCAGAGATGCTATATTAAATCACTTTATGAGTGATTTTTTTTAAACATAGACGTTGACTAAAATGCTGTACAGTAAGTCCCCTACATACGAAACTTCAAGTTGTGAACTTTCAAAGATGCGACCATGCATTCCATCACCATCAGGCGCAAGTGAAATTAAACCTCGCCCTCCGTCTGCTATTGCTGACGACCCTTCAGCTCTACCATCTCCCGCCTCCTCTCCCTCCCCCAGTCAGTAACTCTTCTTGCCTGTTCCCTCGATGCCAGCCCCTGTGTGCCAGCTGTTGTACTGGACTGCTGTACTTTTCAAGGTACTGTGCTGTAAGATTAAAAAATGTTTATTTTTTGTTTTTTATGTATTATTTATGTGAAAAGTATTATAAACCTATTACAGTACAGTACTATATAGCCAATTGTGTTAGTTGGCTACCTAGGCTAACTTTGTTGGACTTACGAACGAATTGGACAAATCCACTCTCGGAACCGAACTCACGTGTATGTAGAGGACTTACTGTAAATAGTTTGGCTGTAGAATTCTTGACTACGCCTGGCTTAGGAATCTTTAATATGCAATTTTTCAGACACTGGAAGTTTTTAAATGTTTTGTACCTGCTGCGCCCCAGAGTTAGGGACTCTGCATTGCCCTCCTACTCTAGGTTTACACTAGAGCTTTGTTTGGAATGTGTCAAATGAAACCAAAGTTCGGCATTGCTTTTCTTCAAAACATTCTGTTGTGCAGAATAAACTCTTACGGGAACAAGAATATTAATTATGTAATAATTTCACTAGACAAGCAAAGAGCAATTCTAATCTAAGTAATGTCTCCTTATACCTCCCTTTTATGACATAAACACAGTGGCGATTTTGAATGCACTTACCAAGGATGTTCTCTATGGTTTAGGTGAAAGCCATTCAGCTGCTCCAGGCAAGGACAGCAGTAAGTAACAGCTGTGTCTGTGCTGGCGTCACGGGTATAATGCCTGGGTCACAGGGGTGAGAACTGATTCTGCTGGGCTTGTGCTTCATGGGATGCTTCTGTCTCCTGGTCCCCCCCCCCTTCCCTGGGCCACCTTTGTTAAGTATGATTTGGCTCAAGCCTGATTCAAAGTGGTCCTCCTGGTGTGTATGCACTTGTTCAATAATACGAGACAACATTTTCTTCTCCTCTTCTTGCCAGGTGCATGGCACTGCTTTGGACTTTCTAGGATGTAGGAGAAAAGAAATCTTTTAAAATATAAAATAATCAATTCTTTGGAAAACTGAGTTGGGCTGCGTTCTTGTTGAATGTTATTATGTTGACTACTCAAATACCAAGTTTTTTTTTTTGCATTTGGTTAATTAAAAATCTGCAAATTTACTTCTTTTTTCCTAGCTTTATTGAGGTAAAACTGACATGTAAAATTGTAAGATAAAGTGTACCAATTCGATAATTTGATATACGTATATACTGTGAAAGGATTCCCCCATTAATTAACACACCCATCACCTCACATATTTACCCCCCCACCTTTTTATTTTTGGTGAGAACATCTAAGTTCTACTCTCTTAGCAAATTTCAATCACACAGTACAGTGTTATCAACTGTGGTCACCACATTATATATTATGTCCTCAGACTTTATTCATCTTATAACTGAAAGATTTTACTCTTTACAGACCTCTCCCTATTTTCCCCAACCTCAGCCCCTGGCATCCACTTTTCAACTCTCTGCTTCTATAAGTTTGACTATTCTTTTTCTTTTAAATTCCACAAATAAGTGATACCACTCCGTCTCTCTCTGTCTGGCTTATTTCACTCAGCATAATGCCCTCCAGTTTCACCATGTTGCTGGAAATGATAGGATTTCCTTCCCTTTTAAAGGCTGAATATTATTCCATTGTATATATATATACACATTTTCTTAATCCATTCGTCCATCGGTTGACAGACATTTGGTTGTTTCCCTACCTCAGCTATTTAATGCTGCAATGAAAATGGGGGTATAGCTATCTCTTCAAGATCATGGTTTCATTTCCTTTAGATACCCAGAAGTGGGATTGCTGGATCATACGGTAGTTCTATGTTTAATTTTTTGAGGCACCTCCATATTGTTTTCCGTATTGGCTGCACCAGTTTACATTCCCACCAACAGTGTAGGAAGGTCCCTTTCCTCCACATCTTCACCAGCAAATCTACTTCTTTTTTAAAAAATTTTTATTGGAGTAGAGTTGATTTACAATGTCGTGTTAGATTCAGGTGTACAGCAAAGTAAATCAGTTATACTATACCTATACATATATCCACTGTTTTTTAGATTCTTTGGATTCTTTCCCATATAGGTCATTCCAGAGTATGAGTAGAGGTCTCTGTGCTATACAGTAGGTCCTTATTAGTTATCTATTTCTTGTTCATTGTTAAATTCACTGTAAATGAAGGCTTTTACAATTAAAATGAGATTTGTTTCCATCTAAAGAAAGAGGCAAGAGTGCCTGCAAAACTGAAACATGGCCCGTGGGAGCAGAGCAGAGTGACAGGACTGGCTGGCTCGCCCAGAAATTCTGCCCCTTGCTTTTCTTCATGCCCTTATTTCCTCCTATCTGGCCTTTTCTCCTGTCCTTGGCTTTCTCGGTAAAAGTCGTCATCACCCTCATCACCACCATCACCATCACCATCGACAACCATAAATACATATTTAATAAAATAGCAATGCATAGCGAGTCTTCTCCAGAAGAGAAACAGAACACGTGAACACATAGTAATTCAGGTTAGTATGAGCCAATAAGTGGCACACTTTAAGTTGCTGAAAAATACTCAGTAAGCACTCTTGGAACACAGGTACAAATCTTACTGGGTTTGTAGCCTGCGACCTGCACTGGTGGGTACAAAATCCACTCGCTTCAACTTTGTGAACAGACAGGAGCGTTTCCAAAGTTAATTCAATTAGAGGACAGAAAACTGAAAGCATCCAAAACGATTTACCCAACCTCTTCAAGTATGCTTGAGTAATACGTAATTTAAGCACTTCTCGTCGTGAGTTAAAACATATTTAACACGTACAAAATCTTAAAAGTCAAGATTTAAAATGTGTGGCTTTGCTGAACATACATCAAATTTATAGGCATTGAAGGCCTGCCTGCCATCAATTAATGGTGGCAAAACAGCTAAAGATGTTTTACCAGTATCTGTTTGCTAAAAGGAAAAATCTGTCTACGCAATTAGCACAGACACAGAAAATGAAAGTGATGCTGCTAATGCCTTTGTTGGAGTTATCCCTACAATCTGGGTTTTGTTTAAATCAAATAGTACGGCTGTAATCAATTTTAGCCCATTTTAAAATGCATGTGTTATGATCAATCAAAACCTTTTTTTTTTTTTGGTGGTACGCAGGCCTCTCACTGTTGCAGCCTCTCCCATTGCGGAGCACAGGCTCCGGACGCACAGGCTCAGCGGCCATGGCTCACGGGCCCAGCCGCTCCGCGGCATGTGGGATCTTCCCGGACCGGGGCACGAACCCATGTCCCCTGCATCGGCAGGCGGACTCTCAACCACTGCGCCACCAGGGAAGCCCTCAAAACCATTTTTAGTGCTATGTCAGGAAAGAAAATAATTCTGAACATCAGAGAAATTTTTTTATTGGCACCAGAAGCATCACCTCAAACCCATACGATGTAGGACCTAAAGCTCTTATAAAATTGTATTTCTTGGGAGTGCCATGGTGGCCTAGTGCTTAGGATTCCCGGCTTTCACTGCCGGGGCCCGGGTTCAATCCCTGGTTGGGGAACTGAGCTCCTGCAAGTTGCACGGCCAAAAAAAAAAAACCTTATATTTCCAATTAGGAAATCAATAACCATAACACATACGTAGTTAAGTTGATCTTGGTCTGAAACTTGCCTTCTTCAATTCACTTAGAAGCCCTGTATGTCATGAGAGGGCTCTAGTGATTTATTTTGTCAAAATGACCTGAAATCATCTCTTTCACTAACACCACCTCACAGATTTAATAAGCAAAATGCATAAAAACCACAATCAGTGACAATGGTCAGAACAGAGTTAACTTGTGCTAGTAATTTACTATTTGATTCCTATATAGAGTAGGTCAGTTTTAAAAATAATATTTTAAAATAGTGTATGATTCCACTGACATGAGGTACTAGACAAATTCATAGAGACAGAAAGTAGAATGGTGGTTAGCAGGGGCTTGGGGGCAGGGTAAATGGCGAGGTTTTGTTTTACGAGTATAGTTTCAGTTCAGGGTGATCAACAGTTCTGGAGATGGATGGTGGTGATAGTTGAAAAACAATGTGAATGTATTTAACACCATAGAGCTGTACGCTTAAAAATGGTTAAAACTGTAAATTTTGTTATGTATGTTTTACCACAATAAAAAATAAAACTAAAAAAATTCACATTTTAGCTACCTTATTCTCAAAGCAATAATAAGTAACTGGTGTGAAAGGAAGCTGAATGATGTATTCCTTAAGTGAAAGATGGTACTTAGATTTCCAAAGTATATATCTCCCTTCTATTCAGTAGGGTCTATTTTCTTATAGCAAGGTCAACTTTCAGAGTTTTTTAAAAATTACGAACATTTCAGTGGCAAATCTTTCTGTTATTTTTGACAGATAGTATACAAGGTGCTTCCTTAGAGATTTATTTGACCTCTACTCCTGCTCTGTTGTCTTACTTGAAAAGATGTCCCTGAAACCAAACATCATACCATTCCACGCCTAAGAGAAGACAGATGGAGATCTACCTGTAGAATGTAAATGATTATAAGGAGAAGCTTATAAAGGAGCTAGAATAGCACTGATCAAGACCTGAAATTATATTGTACCTTTGTTTGTTATTTTCTATCGCCTTCACTGCTCCACACACACAAACAAGAATTTGACTTCTGTAAGTACTGAGGTTTTGTCTGTAAAGCTCGCTACTACACCCTAAGCACCTTGTGTGGTTCCTGGAACATATTAACTGATTGGTAACTATTTGCTTAAAGAATGAATAAATGGAGAAAATTGATGAGAAGTCTGGGAATTTGAAGGTACCAGAATCCTGTCAAAAGATCATATTTCTAGTAATTTTTTGGCACACTGTTAATTTAGTTGCGCAATCTCAGGCACATCCCCCAACTCTCTGGCAACCTATATCCTCGTTTATGGAAGGAAATCCAAGTTTCTTCCAGCTGCACTATTCTGTGATCTCATCCTGTCTTCGCTAAGGCCCTAGAAAGGGAAGCATCGTATCATAGGAGCTGAATTCCCAGAATGGTACAACTCCTCCCTAAAAGAAAAAAAAAAATCTACAAAAATTCGTAGCAAATATTTATTAGATAATGTAAATGTCAAGACAAAAGTACTAAAAATGGTAAATGATCACTTTACCATAGTCAGGCCAAGGCCCTAAATCAGAAATGAACTTGGCCTGTTAAAGAAACAGGAAAAAGGTCGATGTGAGTTGAATAAAGTTTGGGGAGGGGGGGCGGGATGGAGGTCAGACAGGAGGAAAGCAGGGGCCTGATCCTACACGTGTAGGAGTCTGGTTTTATTCTAATACGGGTGTGAAGTCATTTAAGCAGAAAGGAGCATGCTAGACCCTCTCCATCTTTATCTCATCTCTACTTTTCAGTGTTGGTTGGTCTAGTTTTCCCCTGCTAAAACTGCGTTGCTTCCTAGGGAAAAGCCCTGTCATTGGCCAGAGGGCCTTGGCTCTGTAACTCGATGGCTAGTGATGTAGGCATGTCACTTAACCACGGAAAGTCTCAGTGCCTTCACTTCCTAGACAAGGAGATAATAAGGGTATCCGGGATTGATTTGCATGTGAAATTAAATCTTCCATGAAAGCTTGGATAAGGAGTGACACAGAGGAGGTACTTTCACAGTTAGCTTTAGTATCATAAAAGCTGTATCTTAAAACAGCCGTCCCCAACCTTTTTGGCACCAGGGACCGGTTTCGTGGGAGACAGTTTTTTCACGGATGGGGGTGGGGTGGGGGGAGATGGCCTAGGTGGTAATGCAGGCGATGGGGAGCAATGGG